GTAAGGCCTGCCTCTGATTACCACAAGCTGGGTGACCCGCAGCCTTGCTCCCACCGTAGGGCTCTGGCTCTCCCCAAGAAGATGGTGTCTGCCCCAGGACAAGCCACCCTAAGTTCTAAATGTGGAGGCCCAAAGAGGCTAGGGGTGCTCTTTGCTGTGGAGGACAGGGGCATATGACCAGGGCCAACGAAGTGGCTGAGTCACTATGGCCTGAACCCCCAAAAGATTATGGGATAGTGTCAGGGCTATCAGCCCCTCCCAGCAGTGCCCCAAGCTGGTGGGATATCCAGGAGTTCCCCTGAGTGGAGGGGAGAGGTGGTGGGTTTGTGGTTCCTGAAGGTTTGACCACCCCATTTACCCTCCATCCCCTGTGCAGGGAGGACAGCGCCCGTTCCCCCCCCCCACCGTCCCCCCCACTTCCCAGCAGTTGTCATGTGCAGTCCCCCATGCCCAAGCCTGTGTCTGGAAGCTACACGGGGCCACCAGCCACAGAAGTGCACCAGCCTGGCCCCCACCTGAGCCATCCTCCGGAGAACCTGCCCCCCACCTGGGACCGCACCAGCCCAGCCTGGCAGACCCCACCCTGAGCCTGGTTCCTGAATGTGATGGGCAACCACTGTGGACCCCAGCAGCCTCCACAGCAGCAGCTAGGAAATTGATGAAGTCCCCGGTCAGTGCTGGTCTACCCACCTCTGGCGGCGAGGGTGGGGGCAGCGCGGGTCCTGGGCAATGCGGGCGGGGAAGGTGGGGGAGTGCTGATGAGCCTGCCACACCCTACACACACACACACACACACACACACACACACACACACACACACACACACACGTCTGATCCTGGGCCAGCCCCTAGAGCTCCTGCAGACACCAGAGAGGGGCCCAGGCCCCCGCAGAGCTGGCCCCAGCACCCAGCCTCCCGCACCTGTGAACCCGACTCACGTGGACATGGACCGGAGGCAGTGGGACAGCACCAGCTCTTCCCCTCCCCTCAGGGGGACACGGCTTCGGGAAGGGGCCTGGGTAGATGGAGTGTAAACCAGGGTCCTGAACCCCAGGGTGGATGAGAAAGGCTGAGCTGTGTGCTGCCTGCGGCCCCTCCCCCACAAGCCCCGGCTTGGGTAAAGCCCCCCTTTGCAAGCCCTCCGGCTTCCCCTCTTGCCATCCCAGCCCTGGGCAGAGCTGAGGGCACTATGCAGGGCTAGCTCGCTCCCTCTGCATCCCTACCTGGTGGTCCAGGAGCAGTGGTAGGGAGGGGTGGGGCACAGAGCCACGCGTGTCTGAGGGTGGGGCTCTCCTTCCACCCCCCACCCTTCCACCCCCCCAGAGGCCAGGGGCAATCTCTCCCTTTGCTCTCCCAGGTCCTCTGGCCCTCGTCCACCACAGTGGGGTCGGGGTTGGGGGGAGCGGGAAGGCAGTGACCCTACCCCCACCCTCCTGGACTTAACCCAGAGGCAAGTGCCTCTCTGCCATGTCTACCTGCCAGGGGATCCCCCAAAGGAAGGGGCTATGTATTAGCCCCTTGCATTCCCTCAAGAGGGTGGGATTGGTCGAGCAGACACACAGGCACTGCCCAGGGACCCAGCCGGGACTTGAGCTCACCCCCGCCCCCTCGCCTACAGGGCGCTGGCCCTGATGACCATGCCCCCTCCCTGCCCCCCAAGAGGCCGACTTATCACCCCCGCTTTAGAGAGGGTCCCTGGTCCCTGCCCCTGGCTGGAAGCCATCCAGGAAGGCTGCCTGGAGGAGGTCTGGCAGGACTGGGACTGGCCAGGGGAAGGGGGAGAGGCTGGCAATCCCAGGCTTGAGCCCCTGGCCAGTGGCTGAAGGCAGCTGAGAGAGCCAGGCGCCTCAGCCTCAGGGCCACTCAGCCACTGAAAGGCGACTATCCGAGAGACCGCCAGGGCCTGGTGTATTGGCAGAGTGGGGGTGGGGTGGGGGTGGGGCGGCAGGGAGCAGCGTGTCTGGGCGTGGCTACAGAGACATGTGGTAGACATTGGGTGGACAGGGCAAAGGCAGTGGGGTTGAGGGAGGTTGGTACACAGTGTCCACAGTTCAGCTCTGCCAAGACCCCCCAGGGCTCCCCGAGTAAAGTCCAGCCTCACACCGCCCACCCTCATCCCCACCCCGGCTCCACCATCCAGAAGCAACCAGTGCCCCATGACCTGTGTCCAGTCTTTCCCTGGTACACACTGTCCCCCCTGCCAGATACACCTTCCACTGACACAAGCACATGCCTCACGTGTACAGGATAGGCAAACAGTGCACAGACATTAGCCTGTCACATGCACGTGCACTAATGCACACACACAAGCATGCTCACACAATAGAAGCATGCACATGCATGAATGCACACATATACAGTTGTATTCACACTAGGTAAGCACACACATGCATGCATGTACACACAGGCATGTACACTCATGCACATGTATATAGGCATGCCCATTCGTGCACGTGTCACATGCATGTAGATGCATGCACATGTACACAGGCAGCATCCTGCTCCTGCTCACCCTGGCACCCTCTTCGGCGTCATCAGGGAGGGGTCTGCCCAGCCTCACTGAGGCTCTGCTGCTTCTCCGCCCAGTGGCCTGAGTGTCTGTCACTGTCCATGCTTGCTGTGCATGGACCCAGGCCAGGCATCCTGATTCCAGCAGGCCTGCCCCAGAGCAGCACAGTGACCCCAAGTTCCGACTGTTGGCTGACACCCGCACCCAAACCCTGGGGGCCCACCTCAGAGATCTGCAGAGTCTGGCCACTGGTGGTTCAGCTCCCTCCATTCCCAAACTTGGGAGGACTTGGGGCACACAGCGTGGTGAGGTGCACAGAGGCACACAGGCAAATCTGAGTCAGTGAGGGGCTCAGGCTGTTCTTGGGGGTGAGGCTTTGAGGTGCCGAGGTCCTCCACTTATTCTCAGTACAGCTGCCACAGACCCTGTTCTACGGGAGTTAGACCACACCATTGCCAGGACATCTCCGTCTGAGAGAGCCCCCAAATAGGTGCCCTGCTCCCTCAGGTGCCCCACCATGTCCGTCCCCACCCCCCCTCCCCGCCTCTGCCAGTTTCCAATACAGACTAGCTGCAGGGCTGGTCTCCAGCGAGTGGGCCCTTGTGGGAAACTCAGAACTAGGGAGGGCGTGTGCTCGGACAGTTTCTCTACGCTCCTACTGAAGGGGTCTCGGAGGCTGGGACTGGAGGAGTTGGGGATGCAGCCCAATCACATTCTCCTGACTAAGTTATTCCTCACAATGTCCTCCCCACCGCCCCATAAAGCCAATTTTAAGATGCTTCTTATAAGCTCACGCTTGCTTATTATACACTTGAGGGTTATCTGCTGTGGAGAGCAATCCGACTCTGTTGTCCACCCCACCCTTAGAATAAGGATCGTAGATTGTTCTCCTGGAGAAGAAGAGCTCAGGATACCTAAGGTCAAGTCAGCTCAGGGAGGATAAAGACTAGGCCGCCATCTTCACTCTAGAACTTCCCCTTCCCATTACAGGTTTGTTCCTAGTACACGTTTGACATGCCTGGATGCCTGATGATCATATAAGACTGTCTAGGGCTGTCGGAGGATACATTTTCTCTCTGGCTCCAGACGCCACCGTGGAAGAGATGAACCCTTGCGTGCCTTGTGTGTTGTCCCTGATTTTGTTCCTTTTTTTGCTGCAAAAGGAAGCTTTATTGTTTCCATTTGGTCCTCAGATGTGGGAGGGTCTCCAGGGCGGTGGCGCTGCAGCTGGCACGGGGCAGGTTGGGGCAGAGGGGCTAAAGCTGGCAGGGGGGAGGCAGAGGGTCCCTCGCAGCAGGTGGCTCGGTGCCATGCAACAGGTTCCTAGTCGTGTTTGAGGGTGAGCCTCTCGAAGAGCTACCCGCCCAGCCCTGCCTGGGGGCTGGCCAGCCTGTGGAGGTTGGTCAGGTGGTTGCCCATCTTCTTGAGGAGTTTCACCGCCTTGTCCAGAAAGTGGTTCTCCAGAAAGTCACAGAGATGGGGGTCAGCGTGAGTGGACCCCACGGCATGCAAGTCCAGAAGGGCCTGGTTGAGTTTTTTCTCCAGGCCTAGGGCAGCTTTCATGGCATCCAGGGTTCTACCCCACTCATCTTGGGACGGCGCATCCTACGAGAGGGCGCAGCTGCCGCACTGGTTCTGCGGCTTCAAGAGACTCTCGGCCCCCTCGCGCTTCTTCTCCTTCGCCAGCTCCTGTGAAGACGTGTATCATCAACGGCATCGCGGTCAAAAAAGAAGCCCAGAGAGAGGTAGGTGTCAGAGGCCCGCAGGTGCAGGTTGACCAGACGGTTGACGCCGCCTCAGCGTCGGCAGAATCATTCTGATGGATCTGAGAGCTCATGGTGCATCGGTTTGGAGGTCACCACACACAAAATAAAAGTGTTCGCTGGTCCCAATAAGAGGGGATGGTCAAGAAGATGGTCCCGAAGTTACTTCCGGAAGGGAAACTGGAGAGTGGCAGAAGGTTGGAGGCAGGGAGTCCCCGGATCTGTTCCGTTCAAACACTGTTGAAGCAAGACACAGATCCACGGGACCACGGGGTGAGTTTGAGTTCGTTCCTTTTAAAGACACAATTAGGGTCCTTAGGACCCTATTGCTTGTGGAGGCTGGTCCCCCAGAGGTCCTGCTGCACCCTGGAGCTCTGTCTGGTTGGGGATGCCATTCCCTAGCCCTGGATGCAAGGGACACCCCTAACTCAGAGCCCAGTCTGAACTTGGAGTCTCTGCATTCTACTCCCTTTACCTGGAGTTGGGGGCCGGGGTGGCAGGGGCTCTGCTACAAGTAGATCACCCAGCAGAAGGGTCGGAGTTGCTCCGGGGTGGAGAGCTGGCATCAAGCCAGGGACTGAGGCCACTGGGGACTGGCTGGGCTGACACATTAACCCCAGGAGGCCAGGCGGGAGGGCAGGTGGTCACTCATTACCAAGGCCCAAGGCCAAGGGGCTGGGCGGTGTCCAGTCACTTATGTAATCCCAAGCCTATATAGAACCCCTGGCCTGGGGGACTCCTGCCTGCCCGCTGCCCCTGTCCTGCTCACTATCAGAATGAAGATGGCCGTGGTGAGTCCTGGTGCCCGTCCCACCCCTGTCCATCACAACCCCCAGTCCTCGCTCACTGCTTCTTGAAAGTCCCATCCTGCCAGTGGTCAAAGAGCTCTCCGCCCTGCTGGTTCCACTGGAGCAAGGGTCAGCCTTGGGTCACGTCTCTTCAGGGCAGCCGGCACTTCCTGGGCCCCAAGCGCCAGGCCAGGCCACTCAGCAGCATATCCTGGGACCAGGCTTCCCTGGGTGAGGGGCTAAGAGCACAGGGAGGGGAGAGAGGCCTCCCCAGACCAGGGGGCCTCTACTGCCCACCCCTGGGCCTCTCCCACCCACCAGGCTCCCTGCCGCCCTTGCTTGTCCGTTAACCCTCCTCCCCAGGTCCCAGACCCCACAATGGTCGGCAAGCTGGAGAGGGGGCTGGGGATGGACAAGAAGAAGACCAGCTTCCGGAACTACACTGTGAGGACTCCTGCTTGGCCCACCCCATGGAAAGGGTCTCCTGGGTTCCCCCCCACACACACACACACACAGAACCTTGGCTTCTGGGTCACCCCTGTGCTGCCTGCCCAGCCCTGCAGAGCTGAGTTCCTGGGTCACCCAGAACAACTTCATGGGGCACCATGTGAAAGCTCCCACTGGGGTCATAGGGTCCAGGGTGTGGTCAGCCTGGGAGGCAGCGGGGTTGGGTGTGTGGGCTCTGGGGGCCAAGGCAGCAGGAAGCCCAGGCTGACCGATGGCCTTACAGTCTGGCCCGCTGCTGGACCGAGTGTTCACCACCTACAAGCTCATGCACACACACCAGACCGTGGACTTCGTCAGGGGGAAGGTATGGCTGTGGGGTGCCCTGCCTGTCCTCCCTCAGAAGGGTCTGGCGGCCGACAGCCCCACTGACGGCCTCCTTCGGTCCAGCATGCCCAGTTCGGGACCTTCTCCTCCAAGAAGATGACAGTCCTGGAGGCTGTAGACCTGCTGGACCAGCTGGTGGACGAGTCGGACCCGGATGTGGACTTCCCCAACTCCTTCCACGCCTTCCAGACTGCGGAAGGCATCCGGAGGGCACATCCCAACAAGGGTGAGCATCCCCCAAGTGGGGGCAGGGGCCATGAGCCAGATCCGGCACCCTTCTGAGCCCGGGTCCTGCCCTGTCTCCCCCAGACTGGTTCCACCTGGTGGGGCTGCTGCATGACCTGGGAAAGGTGCTGGCCCTGGCCGGGGAGCCCCAGGTGAGGGGACCTGGAGGCCCCCCAGCTGCAACCCCCCCCACACACCTACTCCGGTGCTGCCAGTCCCCAATGGTCCATGCTTGGGGGAGGTCTGGCTGGAGGGGGAGCCTCAGGCACACTGCCCCCACTCAATGCTGCCTGTCCCCAGTGGGCCGTAGTTGGAGATACCTTTCCTGTCGGCTGCCGGCCCCAAGCCTCTGTGGTCTTCTGCGACTCAACATTCCAGGACAATCCGGATCTCAAGGACCCTCGATACAGGTGCCTCCCCCGGCCCTGCTGGCCCCGCCCTCCCTGGGGACTGCCTCAGGCTTGAGCCCACCTCTCCTGCAGCTCTGAGCTCGGGATGTATCAGCCTCACTGCGGCCTGGGGAACGTCCTCATGTCCTGGGGCCATGACGGTGAGGCTTCCGGGGAACGGGGGTGAGGGGGTGGGGCGGGACCCTCAGCCAGGGGCCTGCCAACGACACCTCTCGCCCACAGAGTACATGTACCAGGTGATGAAGTTCAACAAATTCTCCCTCCCGCCGGAGGTAGGGGCATCAAAGAAGCAGCCCCGCTCCGCCCCTCCCATCCCAGCCCATCTCAGCCCCGCCCAGCCTCTCAGTCCCGCCCAGCGCAACTCAACTCAGCCTCGCCCCGCCCCGCCCCGCCTCTCAGCCCCGCCCAGCTCAGCTCAACTCAGCCCCGCCCCGCCCCGCCCCGCCCAGCTCAGACAGCTGAGCGCTGTGTGGGTGCAGGCATTCTACATGATCCGGTTCCACTCCTTCTACCCGTGGCACACGGGCGGTGACTACCGGCAGCTGTGTAGCCAAGAAGATCTGAACATGCTACCCTGGGTTCAGGAGTTCAAGTATGGGCTTGGGAACCTGGGGGGCCGGGCAGGGGAGGGAGACCAGCCCTTGGACCTCACCACCCCGCCCCCGCAGCAAGTTTGACCTCTACACCAAATGCCCGGACCTGCCTGATGTGGACAGACTGCGGCCCTATTACCAGGGGCTCATCGACAAGTACTGCCCCGGAGTCCTCTGCTGGTGACTACCCCTCCCGCCAAGCCGACCTTGTGACGATGGAGACAAGTCTGGCGCACCCCACCTCCCTGATGGACCCCACCCACCCGTCTGTGCTCAGCCCTGCTTGCACCAATAAAGACCTTGAAGTGACTTGGGGGTCTGACCCTACCCCGGGGGCGGGGGGACCTATGCTCACTAAGGTGTGGTGTAGTGGCTTCAGGGGTGGGCCAGGCCGGCCAAGGGGACCTTGCACGCAGGGCTGAGACCCACAACCTGGATAACCTGCCCAGGTTTCCTCTCTGCTCACTGGCCACACTGCTGTCCCATAACCCCACCCTCCAAAAGGGCTGCCCAGTCTGGGCGCTATTTCCTCATAACCAGGCACCTCTAGAAGACCCCTAACAGCAGACCCAGGTCCTGGGGCTTTTCTCCCAGCCCAGGAGTGACCACCTGAGCCCAGGCCAGGGGCAGACTGCCTGCACCCCCACCGCCAGGCTCTCCCTGGGAGCACCACCTCCAACAGGATCTGAGAGTGGGGACATGGCCTCAGATTTCCACCCAGCCCCCTGCACTGCCACCAGACACCCCCCACCCCTGGGACCACTGGCCTTGGGCCAGAGCGGGGTCAGTGTACAGGAGGGGCAGCATGGGTCAGGCATACAGCACAGGCCAGAGACTGGAGCAAGACCCCCCCCAAAGCAGGAAGGAGATCCCCAGTTGAGAAACAAGATCCAGGACTGAGACCCTAGTCCAGAATGGTAGAGGCACAGGTCAGAGAAGGGGCCGTGGCCATTGTGTGGAGGATGAGCCCCCAGCAGAAGCCCCCCTATCGCAGTCCCTCTGACAGGTAGTTTTCTCCCCCAAGTGCCTGCCTAGTGGAAACCGGTGGGCAGGGCCACAATGAAGGGGTTTCAGGGAAGTCAGGCACCCAGCAGAACCCTCTGGGAAGTGACATCACACAGGTGCCCCGAACTCAGCCAATAAGGTCAGTCACTACCCTCAATAATGATCCCCCCCACCCCCAGCAATTCAGGAGGGGTTAACGGTATAAAGGCAGGGCCTGAGGTGCTCTCTCTCGGCCTCAGGATTTTCCTGCTCTTGGTTCCTCAGCATTTTTTTTCACGGGGTTTCTGCACTCTCCTGAAGTGGCCATCTTCAGTCTCGAGCTCCCCAGGGGTCCCCATGAGGCCTTGTACCCTTTCCAGAAATAGCATGTACTGTTCAAGACTGTAATACCTGAAACTTCCCCTTTCCCTCATAAAAGTCACCTGGATTACAAAAGTGCTCCTGCCGTGCAAATTCTTTCGGCATTGAAAAGCAAGAACCCAGGTTAATAATCACCCCAGAAACCCAACACCTCTGACCAGAGCCCTGCAGCCCCCAAAACTCCACACACAGCTTCAGGCAGGGAGCAGGCCCAGGAGAGCTGATGTGGACATGTGGGAGTTGTAGTGTGCATGCGCATTGTGTGCGTTCAGTGTGTGTGGGTGTGTGGTGTATGTTGTGGGGTGTGAGTGGGGTGTGCAGTGTGTGTGTGTGTGTGTGAAGTGGATGGGTGTCAAGACTGTAACTACATGAAGGGGTAGAAAGTCTCATCTTACTCTCATGAAGCGGATGATGGTTTTCAACTGATGGCCTTGCCAACACGTGCCCACTGCTCCACCGGGGTTCCCCATGTCACCCACAAGACGCCGGCCCTCTGAAGCAGCCTGGCACATCCCAGTGTCAGCCATACAGTGTCACTGTCCCAGGGTCCTGGAGGCTGCTCTATGGAGCTGGGGAGGGTGCCAGCTCCCCAGCTGCCTCTGGCGATGCCCATAAGCCCAGGATGCCCCCCCACCCCCCGCACGCAGGAGCGAGGCCACTGGTCATGGCTTGTGCCCCTGGAGCATCCAGGCCAGGCTAGGCGGTGGTGCCACAGAGCAAATACCAGAGAAGTGGCACAAAATGCCCTAAGGACATGGGCTAACAAGATGAGACCCCCATCCATGAGGCTCAGGCCCTACCCAGAGGCACCTGGAGCTGGTTCCCGGAGAGCAGTCTGGGTGTCTCTCCAGCGCCTGTCACGGGCAGCAAGGTCCCAGCTGCAGGGTGTTTGCCTCATTGCTCGGGCAGAACTGAAAATCAGGCGCGAGGCCACTCTTACCCAAGGCCACCCACTGGGACTGGGCTTGGTGCCCCAGGGCGGTGCTCTGGTGAAGGCCAGTTCCTTCTTGGCTGGGTGGCTGGCCCTGTGTTGAACCGTTTGCACCTTCGTTCAGGGCCTCCTGGGGCAGAAGCCAGAGTGGGTCAAATTGCACGGGCCCAGGCTGGGGCACAAAGCTTATCACCCAGAGCTCACAAGCAAGGCCCAAAGAGGGGGCTCTGCCTCAGCCTGTCTGCGATGGGTTGATGGGGGTGAAGAGATTGAAGATGAATGAATTCCTGCCGCAAGACCCGACTTTCTCTCCTTGCTCTGCATGGTCATGCCAGAGTGCCAGGGACACCCTGCCCCACCCCAGCTGCATAGGGCCCATTGGGGTCCCTGAGTGGCCATGGGCCAGCACTCTTTCAATGCCCGGTTTTGACTCACAAGAACACACTGTCCAACCGATACCAAACGCACTGCCACGCATCCCGAGAGTGGCTCAGTGGGTTTCTGAGGCCGCCAATCTCCACAGGCGCAGACAGTCTCCTTTTTCTCCCATGCAGTGGCCTCTGGGTTTGAACTGCTGACTTGGAGGTTGGCGGCCCAAGACCACCAGGGCTCCTTCAGCGGGAGGCAGTATTCAGTTATCGCGGTCTTTGTCGGCATAAGGCAAAATAAGCCTGTCACCCAGAAGGAAGCCAAGCCCCAAAGCGAACCCACCGCCCTGAGCTGATTCCACAATGGTGGTCTTTGTCTCCATGAGCAATGGGACTTCCAAGTGAAAATTCGGATTTGGGAGACCCTGCGCTCACCCTCACCTGTCATATTCTTTGGGTGTGGTTCAGTGACCTGCCTGCCTGCCACGTGGGTAGCACGTGGTCTTCAGAATCCTCTCTGAGCGAGAAAACTGCAGTGGGCCCGACAGATCGCTGGAGTGAAACAGATCCGCGGACCTAAAAAAGCTCCTCAAACGGCGGCGTCGGATTCAAATGACAATGGATCTCGGAGAACGGACCTGCCATCGCTCTATGCACTCACCTCTTCCTCCTAAAATACGGTACTTTTTCTTGAAAATGTATTGATTTATTTTTCTTATCTCCTCCCTCTCTCTCTGCCGGTCCCCCCTCCCCCACTAGCCTTCAAGGTTGGCTTCTTTGGGTTTCCTTTATGACAGCGGTCTCCCGTGGTGCTTGCCTTCAGGAGCCCAGCTCTGCTGAGCATGGTGGCTGCCTGGCAGTTTCGTCTTTGAGTTTCTGGGATGCATCACATTCTGGTACGCATGTACCCGCTGCTACGCAGAGATGGCAGTTGGTAGACAGCACTGCCAGCAGTCTACTCATTCATTGTTCTTTCTCTCTCTGGGGTCTGGACCTAGCCGAGAGATTGCAGGACCTTACGGTGTTTGGATTCACATTTATTTAAGGAAGCGCCCTCCTGTTCTCCACGGTGGCTGGACAATTCTGCAAGCCCACCAGCCATGTAGGCGCGGCATTCCCGTCTCACCGCATCCTCCCCAGCTTTTATTTTCTGTTGTGTGTGTTTTTTAAATTTCTGCCATCAGTGTCGGCGTGAGGTGCTATCTTACTGTTTTAGTTTGTATTTCTCTGGCAGCTAATGATCACCCGCCTTCTTCCCTATTGTCACCTTTAGTGGATTCTGTTTCTGCCCCTTTTCATTGGATTATGTTTTTTCATTGGATTATTGTGTTTTTCTTATTGAGGAGTAGTTTCCTATAGATTTTTGCGATTAACTATCTGCTATATCATTGCCAGCCTCCCGCACCCAATTTACTCTTTCGATAAAGTCTTTTGATACAGAAATGTTGTATTTTGACAGGGTTCCAGTCCTCTATTTTGTCTTCTGCAGTGGTTTTCATTATGTTTGGTAGTGTTTTCATGCCTTGTATGAGGGGCTTTAAGTTTGCCCCTATTTTGAAACATTTTCATTAAAAGGTCATTGTACTGGGGGCTCTCACAACTCTTATTACAAGGTTTGCTGGTTGCCAGGCCTTTCTTTGGGTGCTCTTGGTGCACTCAGTCCCGAGACAACCCAGTGAGCAGTTCACTGTCTGCGGCCCCAGAAGCCACAATGGCAAGAACTTGGTGCCTCCTGGAAGCCAGAGGAGTGTGTTCTTACCCGGCCACCCAGGACCCTGAGCCTGGAGTGAGCATTCTGTCTGTGTTGGCTGTGGGACCTGACCAGGCCCGAAGGCCAGGTGCCTGGACCCTGCTGACTCTCTCGCCTGCCCCTTGTCCTCTACATCTACCTGGAGAGCTGATCCGAGGGCCGCCTGCAGCCGGAGGCCCAGTGGAGCCCAGCAGGAAGGCTGTGGCCTTCCCCAGGTCTTCACGCATTCTTCCAGCCTATGTGTTCAACGGCTCAGGTAATGAGCTCATTCGATGAGCTGGCCCATGGTGGGGCTTACTGGAAACACGTTTAAAGGAAAGACACACAGCTGGGTGAGGGTCGCTGGGGCCATGCGGGCAGTGCAGGGTTTACCCCAAGGTGGTCTGTGGAGACTTCAGTGGGGCAAAAGCCCTGGTGTGGGCTTCAGGACCTGAGGAAGCAGCAGGGGCCAGTGTGGCTGGAGGAGGCAGCAGGCAGGGCCAGCTCCTGGGTCAGGTGGGGCTGTGGGGGAGGCTGCAGGGTTTGCTGGAGGACCAAATCATACAGTGTGTGGCTCTTAGTGACTGGTTTCGTTAAGCATGTTTTTCAGGCCAGGGAAGATTTCAGGTCAGGGCTGAGCAATCAGAGCAGGGCTGAAAGGGAAGACCACCACGGGAGGGGTCTTTTGTCAGGCTCTTAGGGATGGGCAGCCTATTGCTGCCTGGAGCCCAGGGAGGCAAGGCAGGGAGGGAGACCACCACTGCTGAGTGTTGGCTTTCCCCTATCCCCTCATCCTGCTATCCTCTGTCTTGGCTCCACCCCACCGCACCTCCTGCCACTCCACCACCTGCCCTGTGCACACGTCTTCAGGAAGTGGGTAACTCTCCTTGTGACCTGGGGCACCTGAGAGGCCATTGAACTGGCATGCTTGCAATCAACCTGTGCCCTCTGGTGGTTAGGATGTTTCAGGTCAACACGTGGGTAAAGCAAGGTAAGGCAGGAATGCCTTGCACCAGCGTCAGTGCAGAAACAGCAGGCAGCGGGCTCGCTGTGTCTGCATGCCTGGCCCACTAGGAAGGGGGGCACTGAACACTGGGAAGAGAAAGGGACCCAGCTCAGTTCAGGAGAGCAGGTAAGCTATTGGGGCCGTTTACTTGCAGACAGAGCCAGACATGGGTGGCCTCTGCGGCTTTCCCACAAAAACCGGCTGGAGCAGCGGTTCTCAACCTTCCTCAGGCCGCACCTTTCATACAGTTCCTCATGTTGTGGTGACCTCAACCACAAAATTATTTTCATTGCTACTTAATAACTATAATTTTGCTACTGTTATGAATTGGGCGACCCCTGTGAAAGGATCATTTGACCCCCAGGTTGAGAACCACTGGATTGGAGGAAGAAGCAGAGAACTGGGGGGTGGGGGTGGGCTTGACCACTCAAAAACTGCCCGACTGCTGGGCAGCTCCCATTGGTGCTGGTGAATGGCGCTGGACGTGCACTGATGCAGGGGTAAACACATGGCCACATCCCTGTTTTTCTAGGCCCACAGAGACCCGTGGACAGCAGAGCCCACCCCTGCCGGGCCTGGTTGGAGCCCACTGCTGCGGCCATGGTGCCAATCCATCTCACGGAGGGCCTTCCTCGTCTGAGCTGCTTTTTTGCTTTACCCAGTGTGATGCCCTTCCCTAGGGGCTGGTCTCTCCTGACATGTCCAAAGTCTGTGAGACCAAGGTCCCACGAGGCTTCCTCCCAGACACGCACTTCCCCCGGCAGTCAGTGGTACATTTGATAGTCCATGCCAAGGGGGCAAGGCTTTGTCTCACAGACTTTGGACACACTGCCGGGAGAGACCAGCCCCTGGAGAAAGACATCATGCTTGGTTAAAGTGGAGGGGCAGCTAAAACGAGAAGACCCTCCATGAGGTGAGTTGGTGCGGTGGCTGCACCAATGAGCTCACCCTAGCAACGCCTGTGAGGCCGGCACAGGACCAGGCAGTGCTTCGTCCTCTGTCACAGGGCCAGGATGGGTGGGAACTGACGTGGTGGTACCTAACAACAAGATGCCACCGCCATTACTGAAGGCATTGCTTCTTTGGTCTTCTTCATTTGTTCATTGTACATCCATACGATGGGACATCATTCAATTCGACCTTGAAAGCGGATGTCCCAAGGAGGGACCTTAAAGTCAGGCCCAATGGAAGAAACCAGTCCCAAAGGGCTACATAGTGGAAGAGTCCATGCACATGAAATGCCCAGGGCAGGGAAGCAGGTGAGACAGAGAATAGATGTGTGTCCACCGAGGGCTACGTGCTGGGGTTTCTTTTCACGTCTGGGATTCTGAGATGGGCTTCGGTGCCGGCTGGACAAGAAGCGTGGCCCACGTCAAGTGAATGAAGGGCGCTGTTTGTGAGCCATATCTCAGCCAGGCCCCGACGAATACCACATAGCCGAGATCCACACCAAGACAGGGTTAGGAATTCCAGATGCCTTGAGGCTGGGTGTTTTCGGGCCTGCTGGTGTCTCGGTTAAGTGTGCAGCCGCTAACGGGGAGGCTGGATGTTGAAATGCTGTCGCTGCCAAGGTAGAAGAGACCAGCAGACCAGCCCCCAGGATGCTCACGGTGCCAGTGGCCAGTCCTCAAGGACGGCTGCAGTCACAGGGCCGAGTGGAGCACAGGACAGCGGCGATGGGGGTTTCATACCAGCCAGGCCTCCAGGTCTGGTTCTCGGTGTGCGAGACACTGAGCATCGGTCACCAGGAGTTGGGGGTAGAGCCCTGGAGCCACCCCCAGAGTGGGCACAGAACGTGCTGGAGGGGCATTAAGGGGGATGGAAGACGGACGATGGGGGCTGAGGACAAAGGAGGGACAAGGCCACCCTCAAGCAAGGGTCATGAACTCAGGGTGGTGGAAATCCACACCCAGCGTCCAGCACAGGTCTCCGTCCCTCGCTCCTGGAAGTAGTACCTCTGCTGCCCAGGCCTGGAACTGAGCTCTGGCTGCTTCAAGTACCGCCATCGTGCCCACCCCCACGCCGCTGCGGGAGCACCCCAGGTGGACAGCTCGCTTTGCGGTCGGTCTCCATTTACCTGACCCCGGCCTCATTTGTGACCCACCCCCGTAATTCCGGTGCTGTGGCCCAGGGGAAGTGGAAGGAAGGAAGGGGAGGTTTCTGGCAGGTTGGGGCTCTCCAGCCCCACACATCGACGCCTGGCTTTGTGCCCACAGGATGGGGCTGGGAGGCCGGAGTCTGCTGTCAGTCTGCAGAGACCTGGGTGGGGTGTGGCATCCCAGCTGCAGGCCAGTGCTCTAGGGGTCGAACTCTAGCCAGCCACACAGAGCTAGGGGAGGCCTGGCACAGTTTAACATAAAAGATGCCTTTTATTGGTGCACACGGATCCAAACCCTGGTCTAGCCCCCTCAGAAGCAACTCGGCCTCAGTCCCCGAGGTGAGGCTGCAGTTTCGCCCCCTCTGGACCGACGGCTCCTCATCACCAAGGTCAGAGAAGGTGTGGGCTGACCAGTGGGCCTCCAAGCCCCGTGTAGCAAGGATGCCCCGGAGAGCCTTGAGAGTAGGGAGCACGCCCACCTGCCCCTGCGCTGCAGCAGCGATTAAGGCACTTGTGTTGTGGCTGATTGCATCTGCTGACAGAGGCCTAGTTGCTGGGTCGCTGATCCCGCGTCTCCACAGAGCCGGCTACTTCTTGCGCCGGGGGCTCCTGGACCCACTGCTGCAGCCGTTTTGGGCTGCAGCTCCTGGCTCCTGGGGGGCACCTTTGCGCTTCTCCTGCCTGTTGGGTGTGGGGGGGCGGGGGGCCAGCAGGGCCTGCACCACCTTGATGGCCCCTGCCGCACCAAGGAGCCCCCAGAGCAGGTTGGGGGCTTCCAGGGGGGTCAACTGGGCTCGGACCCAGTGCAGGGCCTGGGGCAGCGGGCTGCTGAGACTGCGAGGGCGAGGAGGACTCTTGTCCTGGGGAGGAGGAGGAGTGGTCACAGTGGGTAGAGTCCAGATGGGTGGTCACCCGAGCACCCCCAGCCAGGGGCACCTCCTACCTGAAGCCCAAACTGTGAGAGCAGGTTCTGCAGCGTGGGGTCCCCCAGGGTCACCGGTGGGAAGAACTGCTCCACCCACTGGCGGCGCCACCAGCGGCTGCAGCAGGACGAGCGGTCACTGGCTGGCTGGCCAGGCCCAGTCCGCACCCAGCCGCGCCCCATGTACGTACCTCTGCTCCTCAGGCTGCGTGAACCAGTACTTGTAGCGCTGCGCGCGGATGTAGGTCGGGGGCTGCTTGTGGAAAGGGTACCGGCTGGGGTCGCTCTGAACCAGGCGGATCACTGTGGGAGGTGGGGCTCCGTCTACATCCGCGCCCCAAACTGGCCCCTCCCCGCCTTCCTCCACTGCAGCTCGCCCCACTCCCTCCACAGCTCCACCCCACCTTCTCCAGCCCGCTCACACCTGACTCCTGGCCCTGCAGCAGCCGGTGGACCAGGCCCGCGAACCAGGGGCTGTGTGTGTGGGGGCCGAGTGCAGCGAACCACATCTGCCAGTCAAGACGTGGCTGGTGGGGCGTCACCACGGCTGGTGGCCGGCTCATGTTTCCCGGCTTGTACATGAACTCGATCTCCTGCCGCGTGCGGGAGGGGGGGGAGGGAGGAAGGGGGTAATATGGGTGAGGGGGTTAGTGGCTGGTAACCCTGCCTGCCAGGTGCCCACCCTGGAGCCCAGCTGCGGGGCTCACCGTCCAGTGTTGCCCATCATAGCTGCCCTCCAGCACCACCTCGGGCCGACCCCCCAGACCAGTCATCCGCCGGAAGAGGCCGTAGGAGTTAGCCAGCTGCAGATGCTCCACGGAGCTGAAGAGGCGATGGGCCACGGGCAAGAGGCGCCCATGGGTATCTGGCTCCATGTAGGAGTAGGGCACCTGGGCAGAGGCAGAGGATCAGGGGACCTGAGCACCTGCAGTGCAGCTCAGTGGGCCGCCCCTCCCCTCTCCAGCGACCCACCAGGCTGATCGTGAACAAGGCCACCGTAGCCACGCCAAAGACAAACAGCTGGACTGCAGACCAGAGCTTCCACAGCCACCCACGCACCTGCGTCCACCTGGGGGGCGGGGAGGGGGGTAAACCCGACGCGGGGGGGTGGGGGGTAAACCCGAAGGCTGTCAGGCCTGTGGGCAGCCTGCCACCCCCGCAGCCCTGCACCACCCTTGCCCTGCCTCTGGCCACAGTACCTCCAGAGGGCAGCCAGCAGCTCCCAAGCCAGGGAGGCCCCTCCCAGCCACATGGTGGGCAGGGTCACGCTCTTGAGCCACTGGGAGAACTGGTGGAAGGTGAAGTCTGTCGGGGAGGGGCGGTTGAAGGCAGGTGTTTGGGAGCAGCCCGCCCCCACCCTGTGCCCAGTGCTCACTGGTTCTGGACTGGATGGTGCGCTGCTCCCAGTCCACCTCCAGGCTGAAGTAGTGGGCAGTGCCATAGGCCAGCAGCCCGTAGACAGCCAGCTCCAGTAGCAGGGCCAGTGCAGCCAGCAGGGTCTTGGGCCAGGCTGTGGGGAGGACGGGAACAGTTGGCTGGGGCTGGGGGAGGGGAGAGCAGTGGAGCCGGGGGAGCACAGGCTGGAGATGAGGGTGGGGACAGGGCAAGGGGAGAGGGGGGTGGAAGACAGGCGGCAGGCTGGCCCTCACAGGTGGGCATCTTCCGGCTGTGCCCTCGCTCTGTGTGCAGGTGCTGGTCGTCCAGCAGGGCGGTGGTGAGCACCAGGGTGAGCAGATTGAAGAAGTTGTAGTTGCCGGTCAGCATGATGAGAAGCTGCAGGAGAACCTGGTGTGTGTGGGTGGAGTTTGCACTTAGAGCTGGCGGGGCAAGCCCTGCAGCCAGGCTGGACTGCCCCCATCTACCCTGACCGCCTTAGCTGCACCTGTGCACCCCCATCCCCCCGCCCTGTCTGACCTCTGCTATGACTTGACCTTTCAAAGGTTCCATGTCCTCAGCCTTGCCGACCTTCAGATCGGTACCCCACCATCTGTGTGGGACGGCACCGGGGCCCACCCACCTGGGAGTAGAAGGCCGCCAGGCGCAGGCGGCGGAGAGGGCTGAAGAACAGAGGCGGCACGGCAACCTCGATGAGGAAGGTGGCAGCTACGCAGAGCCTGTGCAGCCACGCAGGCAGGTGATGGGCGTACCAGGCAGCGGGGGTGGGCAGGCACTGAGTCTCGTAATGGTAGGTGAGGGCTGTGGGCGGATGGGTGGGAGGTCAGTGCTGGCCCAAGCTCCCAGGCCCCACCAGGGTCCTTACCAGGTTCCTCACCAGTGAGGCCCCACCATGCTGGGCAGCGGCTGGTCAGCTTGACCACGCCGGAGGCGAACATGAGCCGGAAGAGCAGCCAGCGCACCAGCCAGAAGGGGAGGTCTTCATGGGGCATGGCTCCCGCCAGCCCACTCTGGGGGGGCTTCCTCTGGAGGGGGCGCTGCCTCAGTGGGGCCACCAGCACGGCCAGGAAGCCAGCCTCCAGCAGCAGGGAGTCCCTAGGGGGCAAGGATGAGTGCACAGGACCCCCTCCCCATGGCCACCACCCCCAGCTCTCCTGCAGCGGAGCCCAGGGCCACTCACCACTGGAAATACAGAAACACCTGGCCCACCTGCAAGGAGAGGGATGGTCAGGGCAGAGCAGCGCTCCCTTGGGGTAGCGGTGGCAGGAAGGTAGGGGCAGCCCCACTTGCCTGGCAGGCTGATAGGTAGGCAGCCCAGAGCAGCAGGTAGGTGAGACAACTGCGCAGGGGGTGCAGCAGCAGGGCGCCCAGGGCCAGCAGTGTGCCCAGCAGGCTCAGCAGCTCCAGGCCCTGCGCTGTGTCCAGCCCCAACCTCGGCGCCTCCCACAGCAGCGACGGGGTCTCCCACAGCTGCTGCCAGCACCCCTTGCCCTGTGGCCGCAGCATCTTCCGAGCTGGCAGGATGCCCCCTGCACCATATAGGCCTATGGAGGGGGAACATGAGCGACAGGACCCACAGGTCAGAGCCTGTAGACCCTCCCTCACCCAGGTTAGCACCACAGCCCCTCAGGTCAGCACCAGGCCTCCCACAATCAGCACCAGGAACCCCCCACCCCCGTCAGCGCCAGGCCTCCCAGGTTAGAGCCTACAGACTTTCCCTCACTCAGGCCAATACCATGACCCCTAAGGTCAGTGCTAGGCCCCTGGAGTCAACACCACAACCACCCACAACCAGGTCGGTGCCAGGCCCCCCCCAGTTCAGAACCTTCAGATCCTCCATCACCCAAATCAGTGCATGTAGACCCTCCTGTCCCTACCTGATTGCCTGGGTTAGGACACCTCACCCTCCATGTTCTTCCCTGCCCCACCACATCTGCGTGAAGCATCTATCACTGTCAGGTTCTGCCCCCTTCCCCACCCCACCCCAGGTCAGACCCGATACCGTGGGAAAGGGACCCCTGCTCAGAGGTCTACAACAACCATCCCCGCGTCCTCCACCCCGCGGTCCGCCGCCAGGAGGGGCCTTCCTCGGGTCCCCTGTCCCCCTGGACAGCGGAGCGCAGAGCGGGACGAGGAGCGGGCACTGGCTCCCCCGAGAGCGGAATGCGGGGTGTCCCGCCGTTGGCGCCCTCACCCGGGATCTGCATGTAGAGGGAAGCGAAGGCGAACATGAAGACGGCGGCCACGCCCTGGAGGAAGAGCTGCCGCGGGAGTCTGGAGCCTGCCATGTCTGCGAGCAACGCGGCCCGCCGGCAGAAGAAGTGGACGCCTGCCCGCTAGGTGCCGCCCCTTCGCGAAGTCCTTTCTTGGCTTTGAGGCTCAGCTCGGCGAGGAGGCCCCGCCCCG